CCATGTGTAGGGGAGATGAACACTACAGAGGGAAATAGTAGGGCACAGGTGGTATCAGGGAGAAAAGTAAATGTAGGAGGGAGAACATAATCTAGAAGAAAGCATAGATAAATCACATGGGTAAATGTTTGAAAAAGCCATATGGAAACTTTTTATAAGCTTATGTAACTTATATATTATATATGTGGACATACATATATATTTAAAGAAACTTACACTTCATGGGATGACTTGCTTTCCTCCAAAGAATCATAGGCTACCTAACAAAAACTGCAGTGCCAAGCATGGGGAATCTTCCATAGAGCTCTTAGTCAAGGGGCTCTAGGAGACCCTCAAAATGATATTGGCCATTGCCATTGCACTTAATTACCTATGAGATAATGTTACCAAAGTCACCACACTCTTCAAACACAAGACTTTAAGGAATTAAGCTTGAGCTGACCTAGAAACCTCTTCTCTGAGAACTGGCTCTCATAATATTAGACAGTGCTATGCAAGCTGTCAGGAAAAAGAATCCATCAAAAGCTGTAATGCCTGAACGCCACAGCTAGGGCCAGTCCAATAAGATGTCCCCAGTGATACCAGAGTGGCACTTATATCTTTGGAGTAATCATCAGCTCTCTCGTTGGATGTGAGGTTCACTCAATGAACATGCCCCGTGTTATAAAACTAGCCAGCTACCTGGTTGGAGAAGCCATGGACCTGAAGTGTGAAACCACAGTAGCTACTCTCCTATATGAAATGATTTCTAACTATTCTAAATACCATTATAGCCATAGGTATGTGTAGCTCTCATTCTCATCAATGTTTTCAGGAACATTTTCTGTTTATTCTTTGACTATTCATACATGTGTACAATGCATCTTGATCATATTTATCCAAACCCTTTCTCCCCTCTACCCTTATACACACGCGTACCTCACTATGTTCCCCTTCTGCCTCCATGGCCTCTCTATTTATTTGCAGCCTACTGAGACCACTTAGTTCTGGAATGTTGACTAGTCTTGTTGGCTTGAGATCACGCACGTGACTATGGATATGGTGAATGGATTAATACAATGTCCATGTTATATCCAGACAAACTTTCTCAGCCCTTCTCAAGTATCCTCCTGCTCTTGCATTCTTTCTGTTCTCTCCCACAATGCCCTCTGAGCCCTGTGTGTGTGTGGTGGAAACAGCTACATGAATCTCATTTAAGGCTGAGGACTTAAAAATCACTTATTGTCAGCACTTTACCAATTAGGAGTTTTACCACTGACTTAGGCCCACTAAAGATTGGCCAGGTTTGACAGCAGCAAAGATCTCTGGATTTAAACTCTACATTTAGAATAATGTTTGATAACACATCCACTTAGCAAAACAACAGTAATAGGTTTGTCTTGAAGGCCTGTGGTGTCTGGAGCCACTGACTTTTGACAATGTTTACAGTACCAGGCATGAAGTTTCTTCTGTGGAGCAGGCTTGGAATCCATCCAAAAGCAGTAGCTTACCTCCAGAACCTTTATGCCGCTGTTATGCCAGTGAGCACAGGGTCCTGGTAGGTTGTTACTGTAGCATCCAGGTGTTACCACTGGAAAATACCAATGATCACTTTTCTCTCCCACGAGCCTCCACAATACCTTGTAACATTATGAATGACTCCCAGCAGCCTCCACAATACCTTGTAACATTATTAATGACTCCCAGCAACATCCACAATACTTTGTAGCATTATGAACAATAGGCAGCAGGAAGGAAGATTGTGGATCAGCTTTAGCTTGTTATCTGTCTGTTCTGCAACAGAACGCTGTGGGTTCAGCAACAAGGACTTACCTTCTGGTTTCAGTGGGAAACCTAAAGTGATGGCAATAAATTGTGCTGTTGTGGGTGTCTCAGGGCCCCCTTGACCAATTCTGGTAGTTATCCCACTCCTGGAGGTGAGACAGAAGAGGCAAATTTCTTACAAACTTGCTACAAACAGTATATGATCATAAAAAACAAAAGAGGTTCCATAAAAATTGCTTGCAGAATTATTTAACCATCATTAATCATTTTTGGAAAGGTTTGGAGACAAAGCTAACTGTGTATTTGTTTTCTGTTAGTGTCGCTGTTTAAAATCTGGACATCTTCTTGAATTAAAATCTACATTAATATTTTTCACGTTTTTCCACATTCACTTTGAATGATGCTTCCTTTCAGTCTACTACCTCCATTGTGTGTTCTGTCCTGAGTCAGAGATGGATTAGCAGAGAGGGGAAGAAATGCCCCCATGTTTGTGCAGTTTGGGATTACAATCAGAATTCAATCTTTACTTTCATCCCACGTCATCCTGTGTCATTTGATTGACAATGCCGTGTTATCATTTGTTTCTGGGATGAGTCCTGAGAGTTGTCTCTGGTTCCCTGGGTACAGCATGGCAATGCTTGCCACCACCCACTGCTGGAAACCGTTATATCCAGACACAGCATAAGGATGCTTGATCCCAGCCTTCAGGAGAGCCAGCTGCTGAAGCATGCTACCCAGTGCGGCCTCCTTACTTTACACCGTTTCTTTTGCAAATGCTTCTGAAGGCTCTGTGGGACTGGATACAGACAACCAAAGGTCTTTAGGCAAATGCCTGTGGTTCAGAACTCCAGACAAGAAGAAGACTGATGCTCTAATAGCCTGTGATGTTGGTTGAGGATCATTTGATGAAAGGTGTGCACTGAGTGGTGGTGAAGAAATTAAGCCACGTCGACATGGTCAGATGACTGAAGTCAGTGAGACATTTTCACACCTCTCCTTGACTTTCATCCATCCTGCAGTCTGCCTGCTGACAAGACTCACTTGTATGCATCAATCCAAATTGCAAAGACCACCAGTTGGAATAGCCTCCTATCAGTCAGTGGCTTACTCATTCTCACTGATCTGGAAAGCCTGGCGCTTCTGATAGGCTGACATTGGTCCTGTGGTTCAGTACACAGTAGGGTCCTGCACACTCCCATGTGGCTAATTAAGGCTTTGGAGAATGGCTACTGCACCCAACAATTTTTACTGTGCCTCTTATCTTGAAGCAAAAGGGGTTCATCTTTGGAGGAACAGGCTATCATCTAAAAGGCCCAAATATACTTTAGTCAAAATTACATTTTAAACATTTCTTCTTCTTCTTCTTCTTCTTCTTCTTCTTCTTCTTCTTCTTCTTCTTCTTCTTCTTCTTCTTCTTCTTCTTCTTCTTCTTCTTCTTCTTCTTCTTCGTCGTCGTCGTCGTCGTCGTCTTCTTCTTCTCATTATTATTATTATCATTATTATTACTAAGATACAAATTTAGAATAGAAGACAGTAAGTATCAACAACCAAAGCAACCAACACACACACCATGACCATCACCACCTTGAACAACAAAAATAGAAGAATAGCTAAGATTTTTTTACATGTGTATGTGTGTGCTGTCTCGGCGCCCCCCCCCCCATACACTGATACTGCAGACTCAGAATGCATATTCATCTACCAGAATTTAACAGGAAACACAAATTTTAGGGTTTTTTTCTTATTCCTAATGTAGGCAGTAATTGCAAGAGTTTTTTGTTTGTTTTTCTATTTTGTTGATTTTTGTCTCATTGGTTAGATAAAAGTTTAACATACATCACTCTTTCACCATGTCTTCACGAGCAAGTAAAAATGCCCTTGGCAAGCAGGCACCATCACTGATAGTAAACATCCCACAGAGTTCATGGAGTACGTTCTTTACGAGACAGCAATTATTATAATCTGATGTGTTTCAACAAAATAGTTCCATATAATTTGAAATATGGTTCACCTATTAAAATGGTTTAAGAAATTCAGAACTATAAATTAGCTGGAGTTTTAATAGAAATAAGTCTATATCTTGCATAAGCTGAGTTGAATCATTAATCTGAGGAAACAGCAAGACCAAAAGCAAGTTGAGGAGGAAAGGGTTTATGCCACTTGTGTTTCCATCATGGGAGGCAGAAAGAGAAACAGGCAGGAACCTGGAGGCAGGTTCTGATGCAGAGGCCATGGAGGGGTGCTGCTTACTGGCTTACTGTTCATGGCTTGCTCAGCATGGTTTTTTATAGAGCCCCCATGGGCTGGGCCCTCCCCCATTGCTCACTAATTGAGAAAATGCCCTACAGGCCTGCCTACAGGCCCATCTTATGGAAGCATTTTCTTAATTGAGGTTCCCTCCTCTCAGATAACTTCTGTTATGTTGACATAAAACTATCCAGCACAAGCTAGAATGTCTGACAGAGTGTTTTATAGTTTTATAAATAAGAGAATGGATATAAAATCAGATCTTTAACTGATCAAATCAGTCTAAATTTCTAAGAATTAGTTGGTTTGATTGTAAAAGTCCCATGGTCAATTATCCCCGGACTCAGAGGCAGCAGCACAGGTTCAATGCCATCCTGGGAAGCATAGAGTGAGTGCCAAGCCAGCCAAGTAGCTTAGAGAGGGCTTGTCCCTAAATAAAGAGTGGAAGGAAGACTGTAGAAACAGCTTCATAGTAGAGTGTTCACCCATTCATACTGTGCGACGTCCCAGGCTCAATCCTCAGCATTGCAGGAACTAGAAAGCAAGAAAGAAAGGAAGGAAGGCAGGAAGGAAGGAAGGAAGGAAGGAAGAAAGAAAGAAAGAAAGAAAGAAAGAAAGAAAGAGAAAGAGAGAGATAAAGAAGGGAGGGAAATAGGGAGGAAGAGAGAGCAAGGGAGGGAGAGAGGGAGGGAGGAAGGAAGGTAGGAAGAAGAAAAAAAAGAAAAATATTTTTTAAAGTTTTGTGGGTTTTATTTTGTTTTATAGCAAGGATATTTAAAACTTCTTCAAGTTTTACTTACCTATTCTGAGATTTCTATATCCACTTACATTTTATGCTGTTAATTTGCATCTTAAAACTTTTTTCTCATCTTGCAACATATTTAGTTAGTAAGGCATTAGCTTAAGTCGTGGCCAAACAAATATTATATCTTTTCACTTCAGCAAATATTCTAAAATGATGTTAAAATTCATCTTTTTTTAAACTCCAGGTTCTGAAGGTGATTTAAATTCAACAAAATGCCAAGCCAATCAAAACAGAATCTGCAACGAATTTAAGAAATTTAGAACCCCTTCATGTTTTCAACAGAGGTAAAAATGGTATCACTGTGTTTTCTGGAAACCAGGGAGTTGATGCAGTATTTATAGATAGATGCATCATCACAGGCTATTTTAAAATGCGTGTCTAGCTAGACTGTGGATGAAGTGAAAGATACAAATTTAGAGTGTATTGGCATCCTATTTCAGCCCTTGCAATTCTCTGGGCATGGACTTGATCACTGGTGAATATTCATGGAGCTTCCCAGTTTTCTTTTGAAGGAAGAAGGAACTGTCTCTCCTTTTTCCCCTCAAGAGACCTCAGGAAACCAAAGAGTCCCAGACACCCCAGGTAGATGTTCCACTTGTCACCCCTGGATTCCACTCCCCATGGTGGTTAACTTCACAAACACCCACTCCTCACTCTAAGCCACACGAAAACCAGGTACTGGGACTTTTCCTTCAAGTTACACATGTTCTCCCCCTTCAAAGTATACACCTTTAGGAGTGTGCACAAAACGAGAGTTCTTGTGGCCAGTTTGTCTCAGATGCTTTGTCTTCTGAATATGTGTGTCTTCTCCTAATGTGGTAAAATGCTCATCTGTGGGGGTTTAAAGACTGGGCTGTTTTAACTCCCAGAAACAGCTGACCTGACAAGGGTTAGCTCTTAAATCCAAAACTGATGCCTGGGAATCCAGCATGGGACTGATCAAGACCCTCTGAATGTGGGTGTCAGTGAGGAGGCCTAGGTAATCTATTGAGCCTTGGGTAGTAGATCAGTATTTATCCAGGTATACAAATGGACTTTGGGCTCCCATCCCACAATGAGAGATGCACTCTCACCCTGAACTTTTGGGGGAGGGTCTAGGCCCTACCCTTGATGAAATGACAGACTATGGACACCCCCATGGAGGGCCTTACCCTCCCTGAGGAAATGAGTTGATATTGGGGGGGGTTGGTGGGAAGGTGCGGGAGGAGGAGAGGGAAAAGGAGAGGGACCTGGAATTGACATGTGAAACAACCTTGTTTCTAATTTAAATTTAAAAATAAAATAAAATAAACAATCTTGAACAATCTGGGTGTGTTTCAGTGATGGTTTCAGCATACCCATTTTTGAATATTGTCAATGTGACGGTGCTAGTAAGCAGAAACCGGGACAGGCTGGCCGTAAAGCAAAATGTTCATATGTACTTGAGGGGGCAAACGTACAGGAAAGGTATTTGGGAGTGAAGGCAAGTCTGAACATTCTAGAAGATCGTTTTGATTTTTGTTAGCCTATTGCCTGAGGGAGGGAGGGAGGGAGGGAGCGATTGCAGGCTCACAGGCCAGAGTTACAGAATCCCAACAACTGTAAATATATCATTTCAATAAAGTTTGATACCTTACATGTTCAAGCTGACTTAACAATGACCATCAACACCATCATCAACAAATATCAAGAATGTGTCTTTCATAGTTCTGAGGCCCGAAAGATACCAGTAGGTCATGGCTGAAGACAGAAGAGCAAATTGGGCCGATGTTTTTTGTAAAATGTACTGGGTGAGAACTTTACTCCCTTGAGAGAAACAATATTCTCTGGGATTACACCCCCTTACGAGCTCCCTTAGAATTCCTCACTGTCACAAATGCCAAAAGACAGTGACGTTCTCATGATAAAGGAGCCAAAAAAGTCAAAGGCACACAGACATCTACACCACACACGTGCGTGCATATACACACGCGTGCACGTGCGCGCGCGCACACACACACACACACACACACACACACACACCACAACCACCAGGAAATACTGCATCATGGACCGCTTAACAGAGAAAATGAGAGAGCTACACAGTAAGATTCCCTTTGTGCCACTCATGGGTAAGTGTGAGTTACTCTGCTTAAGTCAGAAACATAACGGCTTGGCCAAGAGACAGACTTAATCAGAAATAGATTAGAAGTCAGAGCCAAGGAGGGAAAAGGGAAGGGAAACGAGAACTTTTGTTGTCCTTGCAAGAAGAGTCCAGTCACATCTTCCTGCCCATGCCAATGCTGGGCAGTGCATTTACTGGGACATGACTCCTTCTCAGCAAGCATGTGTAAATTTTCTGTAAAAAATAAGGAATCAAAGAATTCCGGAAGGCTGACAACACAAGTATTTATGAGTGAAGACACAGAATCCGTTAGTCACATGGTAGCAATAAATGTCTGACTGGTATACAAAAGTAGAAATGCCCAAGTGTCAAGCCTAAATGTCTCCAGAAAATCTTTTGGTTGAAGAAGCAGTCATCTTCTCACTCAGTTATCATGCCCACAAAGGTCTGAGGACACCTCAGATGCTACTGTGCCTGACCTGGAATGGAGAGGCTGCCACGCAGAAGTGGGTGAAAGAGAAAACACTCATGGTTTTGTTTACCAAGAGAACTAGAACTGGAGGGGTACAAAGACTCCGCATGTTCTGCTGACCCAGGCAATGGAGCCCTTTGTGTCTTGTTGTTGTTGTTGTTTTAATGGATGTGTGACAGTTAATTTTCACTGTCATCTTGACTAGGTTTGAATCATCAGAAAGACACACATGTCTATGAGGGATGCCATGCCTCACGAGGACAGTGAACTTCTCTGGGGGTGTTTAGAGCAATAATAGACTGTGCTCTCTTAAAGCTCTAGTGGTTTATATTAATTGAGCTACTGTCCATAACGGTGGTGTTTACCAATGATCTTTATGATCATTGCCAAATTTAACTTTTCCCCATATATTCCATGCTTCTCCATAGTGCCACTCAACCCCTAGATTGATTTCTAGGTGAGTATCCTTTAATTTAATTTTCAATATCTTCAGATATTTTCAGATTAGTAAAAATCATTTAAAATACCCCCCATTTTGTGTAACAAGCACAAAATTTACCTATATCTGGGGGCTTGGTTAATTTGAAAAGCAATATACAGTCAGAACAAAGAAGAGTTAATTTATTCTTTAATGAAACCAGTACCATTTTTGATGGGATAGATTTAGTGTTTAATTTTAACTTACATAGTCTTAATTTAAGATGTATCCTTAGTCCTTAATAAAAGGGATTCCTGCAATTTATAAGTGATAGAACCCACAGCATGTGTAAGCTGTTTATAATGTTGGTATCCAGTGAAATCTTGAGACTGATTTGCATATTTTATGCAAACTAATACAGCAGCAATAGTAATTACCAACAAAGTTGGTAACCCTATTGCAAATATAACCCCCTGGATGACACCAACCTAGTGCATCTTCACTGTGTCCTTGTGAATCCCAGGAGATGTTGCCTGTTCCTTCTACTTAAAAAAAATTCTGCCATTTGTAACTTGGAAGCAAGATTGCAGTAGATAAGATGTGTAAAGTATCTTATTATATAAATGCATTATTGCCTCCAAGAGCCGCCAAGATATTGCATGTATCCAACCATACTTTATTTATAAGCCTGCCACTTCCAATACAGAATAGCTTAATGGGATGGAGCACTTCAATGTCCAGGCATGGGGGATGACCACTTTGGCTGCCATGCCTGCAGCACCCTGTGTTCACAGAAATGACTCCTATTGAGTTTGTGCCAAATTCTAAGGAATGTAGGATGCAGACATGATAGTGGCTGCGGAGTGGCTGTGTAGATGATGCCCTCTGTACACTTCAGTCCTCCCTTGTTCAGGCAGGGGAACGGAAAATGGATTCATACTCGCTTTCTGTAACATGCTTATGTCATTAAGAAGCCCCACTTGGATCATTAAATTGCAAAGCTTTAATGTCTGCTTTTGATACCCCAAATCCTCAGTATTAATAACGTTAATCTTGGCATTGTCTGTGCACTTGATGGCTAAAGGGATTCCCTGGGCAGCTAAGCACATGGCTAAGCCTGCCTCACAGGAGACCCTTGATGCCACAGAGGGGCTGGTGTCTGAGGTGTGTCCCAGCTTCTCCAACCTGTGTCTAGAGCTCAGACCAGATGACAGGAGCATGGAGGAATTCTAGCATCTGAATCATACCATGTCACAGTCAGTACTTATATATTAATATAAACTTTTAAATTAATAAAATTAAACTGAAAGAAACTGGCAACTGTGGAACTCAGCTCCCAGTATTCTGTGATCAGCCTCAAACTCACACTGACTTCCATTCCATATGGAGCCTCCCTCCTATCAAAGTTGTCTCTAGCATATTTTACTGGGGTCACCCAAGGGGAGGGGTTGTAATCCCAGTGCTATTATTTACTCTTTGCTCCAATCAGGACACAGGTGTGGCTTCTAAAATTGTTTAAATTAAGTAAGGAGGAAAACAATAGCCTATAATTACCACAGGATGGCATGAACCAGAAAGAGAGAGAGGGAGGGAGGAAGGGAAGGAGGAAGGGAGGGAGAAAGAGAGGAAACAAAGGAGGGATGGAGGAAAGAAGGGAGGGAGGGAGGGAGGAAGGGAGGGAGTTCCTCCATGTGCTTGTTCTTTGACTGTTTCATCACTAACTGATCACTATATCTGGAGGAGGTTCTGCAATTTTAGAGACAGGACCTACTACAGGAGGTCTCCGCAGTACCCCGACTTTGCCCCACCCCTGTCTCTTTCTGTTTTCTGTCTGAGAGTGTCTCGTCCCTGTCCTGTGGTCCTGCTGCCACCGTGCTGTACCTCACCCCTACACAGGAACAATGGATCTGTCAATGATGGGCAACCCTGTGAATCAAAACAAATCTTACCTCCTTTTAGGTTACTCGCACTGGGTAATTTACTGGCAATTATGAAAGGCGACTTAAACAAGGAGTGAAAGTGAAGACAGACTAAATGGAGAAAGGGATGTTAAGGGTACAGTAGACTTCATCAAGCAACCCCAGAGTTTACAGGGAGCCGTGGGGCTGCCCTACTTTGTGGTTTCCAGGTTTGAAGGATGCTGAGAGTCCGTGGTGTGTCTGAGTCTCACAGGGCAGCTGCTGAGAAGAGAAGGCAAGAGTCACAGGAATTGTCAAAGCTAAAGGAAGGAGCATGGGGTCAAGCAGGTGTCCAGAGAGCCACAGTAGGGTCAACCCTGACAAAGTGGCTATAGAGATGTGAGCAGGAGCTCCTGGCATTCAGCTGCCTATAGACTCTGAGGCCAGAAAGAATGTAGTGCAACATGCTAAAGCTAGAAACTCTCTTCTAGATGTTCTACCATCCAGCTCAGGAAAGCCCCTGCTATCTTAACCGAAAATTGGGGGACTGTTTTAGACTTTCCATGTCTTTGAAAGATTGCATATATTCCCTATGAATTTTCCCATCACAGTTCTAATCTATATAACTTAATCGCAAAAATGCTACTTCCTAAGTTTCATATTGTTCTTTGGTACGCACATCTTAAAATACAACATACACAAATCACCTAGGACCATGCGAGAGTACAGGCTTCAGCAGACCAGTTGCCAAATGGCTGTGGGGAGCCTGGCCCATAGCAAACTCCTGCTGACACAACGTTTTGTGGTTCTGCAGGGTTCCCAGAGTTCTCTGATACTGAGTTCTCCACTTCACGGTATGCAGGTGGGTTAGGACAAGTTACTTTTATTATGCTGCACTGAGTCCTATGTAAAGGGATTGTAACCAGTGGCTGCTCCCTGGGTTGGTGTGGGGGCTGAGGGAGACGCTGCTGGCCCAGAGAATGGGTTAGTAACACTGGCCATTCTCCATTCACCTCTTCACATGCTTTCAAGCCTGGCCAGGAGGGCCCAGGATATCACATGGCAGTGCTCATGACAAGGGCAATGAGTAGGAGTTTGTACAGCTCAGCAAAGTGGCTCCTTGCCTGGGCTCATGAAGGAAGGGCCTCCGGCTATGGGCTTTCTCAAGAGGCTGGTGCTGGCACACACGGTAAGTTTCTGGTTCACCACTGTCTTCTGTCTAGTTTCCACACTAAATATGATGACTTGGTATGAAGTTACAGTGAAACTTCAGGCAAGTGACTCCTCAGTGTGGGAATTAAAGCTGCTCTCGAGCTAAGGCATGCCCTTTCAGATATTCCTGAAGATTCTTTCAAAACTGAAAAGCATGCTTGAATCTAACTTTGAGAAGTCAACGGGTCTCATCAGAAAGGTACTTGCAAATGCTTCATATCTAGGACTAATTTCACAAGTCATTAAGCCAATTATTTTATAACAATTTTACCATAACTCTCAAAAATGCCATTTGCTGGCCATGTACTAAATTCTGGCGATGGATATCTTGGTGCATGTAGACCACCTGTCCTTGGGCATACATGATGAAATTTTGTGTAGTTATGAAGTTACTCTGTATTAAAAATATATCTATGAGGCTTTCTTGGAAACCTTAATAAAAAGAAAAATCTAATTAGGGCTGCAATTTCTAGCAATTATTTGTATTCATGTTTCCAAGCTCAGTGTTCCTTGATGTTAAATATATTATGTTGACCCGAAAGCATGAATGTCTGGGAAGACCCTGGAGGTCACCTGACTGACTGACTTTGCTTCTTCCTCCCATGAATGAGAAAGTGAGATCCCAGACAGCTAACACCTTGCCCAAGGCTGCTGAGTTTAGGTCTCATCTTAAAATATGCATGTAGATGTTTACCTGATTAAACATGCCAGTGAATGTCTCCAGATCATTAACTGTTGGGATGATCTCAAGAAGCCAACAAATGGTCTCATCTAGACTTTGCATCTAGCTGATGCACAACAAATTGAACAGTGCTGCTGCCACCCATGTGTGCTCAAGGTCAGACATTCCATGTGTAATAGTCACGAGGTGGTAAATGAATCAGAGACAAAGCTCTTAAGGAGAAAGGGTAATATAAAGAAAACTGGCAAGACTATTTCTCAGCAGGAGGCTTATTGCTGCATCAGAATGCCTATTGACATTAACACACACACACACACACACACACACACACCACACACACCACATACCACACACGCTCACACATCATATACACTCACACACACACAATCACACATCACACACACCGCACACCACACACACACACACACACCACACCACACCACACACCGCACACCACACACACACACACACACACACACCACACCACACCACACACCACACACCACACACACACACATACATACACACAGCATGCACAGAGGAAAATATACCTGTCTCCCACCAACCTAGGACCATAAGGACTTGTCTGAGATGCCAGGTGTGGCTATTTGCTGAACTTACAGGGCAGACTCATCCCTCAAACTCCAATCTAAGTGAGGACTTCCTGGTGTTGGTTAAGAGTCCTGCTAGGTGACAGGTAGCTCTGTAACCTTCTACAAAGGGTGAGCATTCTCCATCACAACATGCTGCATTACTACAATGAAGTACGAGATTTGATGACAATTTTGATTGTCCCTCTCATGGAGGAGGACATACCTCTTCATCAAGCATCAAGGAGAGATTTAAGATGACATTATGGCACATTTTAAAAGCAGAAAACAAGGGAGTCTAAGGGATGCTATGTGGAGGGAAACGACTATCGAAAACAGCCTTCTTATTTCCACCCACACCATTAGGCAGAAATGTCTTGGGGATGATTTACAGCCTATTACATGAGTTTTAGAAGGCTCAGATGTATTTTATTTTAGAATTTTATATCCTTATACAGAACATTTGCATTATTACCCCTTCCCTACTCTTCCTTCAAAGGTTCTGATGCAAAGGAAATGACATTAACAGAAGAAATGGCCAGTGATGCTGAGTTCAAATGTGGTGCGTCTTGGGGAGAGGTTGTAAGACTTGGGTGAGTGATGTTTCAGCATTTTAAATTAATTCAAGGGGGAGGAAAAAGGACTAATTCTTCTGACCCTCTATTCCAGAGCAAACTGTCCTTGCTCCCAAAGACAACAAAACATTAAACACAACTCTACTCCATTCTTTGAGGTCCATCCTGGCCCACCAAGAGAAAGAGGGCTCTTCTAAGGCAAAATGGAACCATGTCCTTGGGTTGACATCATAAAGTGCCACCAACTAGATGGCTTCGGGTGGACAACTTATAAACACACCGTGTACACAGGGTTAAAGAAACAACCTAATCCAGTAAGACTTCAGTTTGACTAAATACTTTCAAATGAGGGGGTTGAAATTTTAGCTTTTCGGTTTGTAGGTAATAAACCATGGCACCAAGGCAGGCTAGCTGACACTGTAGAACACTATCTTTTTGGGCCTTACTTTTTTTATACATATTTTATTTTTTAAATTTAAATTTAAATTAGAGACAAGGTTGCTTCACATGTCAATCCCAGGACCCTCTCCCTTTCCCTCCCCACCTCCCGTGCCCTCCCACCAACCCCCCCCCAATATCACCTCATTTCCCCAGGGAGAGTGAGGCCCTCAATAGGGGTGTCCATAGTCTGTCATTTCATCCAGGGCAGGGCCAAAACACTCCCCCCAAGAGTCCAGGGTGACAGTGCATCTCTCATTGTTGGATGGCAGCCCAAAGTCCATTTGTATACCCGGGATAAATACTGATCTACTACCCAAGGCTCAATAGATTGCCTAGGCCTCCTCACTGACACCCACATTCAGGGGGTCTTGATCAGTCCCATGCTGGTTGGGCCTTACTTTTGGCCCACTCATTCCTGGCTTTTTTCCTGGTGACAACTGAGATTCTACACTCTGCGGAGACCCACCAGAGAATCTACTGCAAACAAGCAGCAGACTGGCCATGTTTGTAGAAAATTCCCTATTATCCTCTCAATCCCTGAACCCCACCAAGGATGTTAAGGTTTTTGGTACTGTTATGTCAGTACCAATGAATTGTAAATTGGAAGATTAAAATAAATAAACTTCTGTAGATACACACACATAAACACACACACACGTAAGAGAGAGAAAACAAAAAGGAAGAGACAGACAGACAGAGATGCTAAAACTACTTGAATAAGTATTGGTGTCTCAGGCCTAGCTGAGCATCCATGGGTGTTCCTCAGGCTTGCTCTGATAATCAGTGATCCAAGGCATACATGATATTTCAAACATTCTTTTTTGATCATTATTTCCTTTCATTCTCAAGTCATTTTGGCCATCCTGGTGCAGTCATTTGCAGCTTAGTGAGCTGTGGAGGAATAATAGCAGGGACTGGGAACGGTAGCCTGAAGCTATTGCCCCTCATCAGCTTTTTTGTGTCTGGTGCTCAGGTTCCTTGGACATAGGAATCTGCATGCTGCTGTGAAGATGTCTTATATGGAAACAATGAGAAGAGCTAAAGAAGAACCGACGAGCAAAGCGCTGAGCCCTGAAGACGTGGATTAGGAGCTGAGACTAAAGGCCAGTACAGGACCTCATGCAGGAATAGTCTCTGATCTAGGGAAGTTGGTCCTGATACCCCAGCTATGGTTCAGTACCACTTCAGACATTTGGGGGTGTGATGTCTGCACTGTTCCCTCCATGTGTACTGTGGTTGTCACATTCCTGCCAGGTTTGCTCTGGCAGACAGCAGCATGGTGGATGGCTTGATTTCTGTGTGAAAAGCAGCCATAGCCATAGACATCCCTAGCTTATGCTATGCTGCGCTGACTCAGGACTGATGCTGGAGGAGAATCTCTTTGAGGTCCCAAGGAGAGGATGGACAGCCATTGTCTTGGGGTGAGTGACAAAAATCCCTAACCCAAAGAAGGAAACCAGGGCAAATGTACCTTACTCACTGATCACATTCCTTGTGTGCGCTCTAGATGGGGTGGGGTCTCCATCCCCCCAACAGTCCTGAGATAGCTTTTAATTTGGCTTCTCCAACAGCAAAACCTAGAGGTGGCATGGGTGTGTCAAGTGCTGGTAAATCCTGAATGTTCCACTCTGCACTGTGGAGTTTGTATACCCCGAATGTTCACAAGTGGTCCCTAATCCTCAACATGATGACTTTTGAGGTAGAGTCTATGGTACAGGGGTAACACTATGAAGGGAGCCCTAATGAGTGCTATCAGCACCTTTATAGGCAGGCTGAATTGCCAGGCTCTCTCACGGCCAGAATGGGCATAGTCAGGAATGTATGACCATGGGATAGAAAAGTCCTCAACAGGCCCGCATCTGCATCCTTAACCCTCAGCCTCCAAAACTACAAAAAAAGAAAGTGTGCTGTTTGAAACACCCAGTCATGTTGTTGAGACGAATGACTGAGGCTCTCAAGATCATGTTGACATCTTAAGTGTGACTGATTCAAAGATTATGAAGTTTTCCTGGTAGGCTACAAATACAGTCACAAGTGTCCTCATGTGAGAGAAGTATAACAAAACTCAACTCAGACGGAGGAAGGAGAAATGTGACCACAGACTCAGGTGGAGAGACGTGACAAGCCAAAGATTGTCAATGCACACCACAGTGTCTTAAGGTAGAGAACGGTTCCTCCCTACAGTTTCTGGAGTGTAAAGAAGCTTTTTCCTTGAGAGGAGCCTTCCCGCCAGCCTGGTTCTAGAGCCACATCAGTCCCAAATAAACACACAGGAGGCTATATTCATTATGAAGCTGTTGGCCTTGCTTGTTTCTTACTGGCTAGCTCTGACTTAAGTAATTACCCCATAATTGTTAATCTAAGTATGTTTCTTACCGGAGAATAGTTCTGGGCTTCCTACCCCATGGCGTTACATGTTGACTCTCTTGTGTTTCTCCTACTCAGAGTCCTTCTGGACTCCTAGTCCCTCCTATCTAGATTCCCTATTGGCCAGACAGTGCTTTATTGACAAATGCACAGGACTTCCCCAACACTGGAGGAGGCTCAGCTGTGCTCAGCCCAGAAAATCATCTCCACAAGACAACAGACGGTGTTACTTTAGGATGCTGAGCTTGACACAACTTCTCAAAGCAGCTGTAGGAAAATAACACAGGGAACAAAGCACATGAGACACAAAAAGAGTCAAAGTGACCAGACCATCCTCAGGGCGCAGCTCTTTGCAACCCTGGTACGACCAGACATCTGTCTGGGGGCCCTGCAGAGTGAGGACAAAATGCCCAGGCAATGCTTCCTTATTTGTTACAAGAGTGTGGCCATGGAGTCCTGCAGCCCTGTGCCATCTCCCACTGTCTTCTGTGATGAGGTCACCTTTGCCTTTCCCAGCTATTCGCAACAAAGTCACACACAGGGAAGAGTGTTTCACATTGTTCCTGGGCACTAAGTGAAGGGAATGGAGGTAGAGACGTGTGACCAATGTGAGGCACCTGCTGTGGGCCCTCCCGGCAGTGTATTCTACTTGAGGTTCCCTGAATCCTTTCTCACACATCCCTGCATGCTCTGGAGGGAGGGTGATCTGGTTTACAAGGCTTTTCTTTCCTCTAGCCTCCTGAGAGTGCTCGTGTCACAGCAAGTACTCTTGTCCATTTAGAATAGAGTCTTCTAAAATGCAGTACAGGTAGCCAGTGTGCAAAATACCCTAGCCAGCATGTTCCAGAGACTGATAACTGGGCTTGCTGGTAGATCACACACTGGCAGTTTTGGGAAGCAATGGGGGTGATTGGAAGTGGTATGAGTGGAAAGACCAAAGCCACCTCTTCCTCTCCCTCCCCACTCTCTTCCCCCTTTCTGCCTCCTAGATTTCCCTTCCCCTTACTCCTCTTCCCCCTCTACCTCTCCTTCCCCCCTTTCTCTCCTCCTCCCACCCACCCAATCACTTTATATGGTTTGCCTTTACAAGCCTATCCATTGAGTCTCCTTACATATTACCAAGGCCCATCACACTGCCTGTCTGCTAAGATTGGTGCTCCTGCCCAGAGTGCAAGAGTCAAAACAAAGGCCATGGCAGGGCATGACGCCTCTTGTGAAAGGCTTCTTCTCCAGCCTCCCTCACCCCAACCATGAGCAGCTGTAGAGGATTTACTACTGGTCAGGAGAGATTATTTCTGTGTTTCTAAACTAGATTCCCAGAAGGGGACAGAGCCATTTTGGAAGCTTTATGGGGGGACATTTGACTAAATTGCATTGATATCTTTATTTTACATTTGTATTATAGATGACATGCTAAGAGCACATAGAGTCTAGACTTTGTGATAAAATCCCTATATTGGCTAGGCACTTTTAAAACTCAAAACAACAAAGCTTGAAAGCAAAATGATAGTTCCTACTGTGTCCATTTGATCAGAGTTCAAAGACAATGAAATACCTTGTGGGTAGAGTGCAGGTTCACCTTCTCCAGAGGTCAGAGTCAGTAGCTTTTGCAGCCAGGCCAAATTAAGGGAGGGCTTCCAGTGTAAGGACTGGCAGGTGGCACTTAGCCTTCACGGTGGCATGCCCTGCTCTGTCCCACTGTTTTAGAGCCAGAGTTACTCAGTTAGTGACAGACTAAATGGAACTGTTTTGTCTTGTGTTTTTCTTTTTAAAAATGTTATGTGCAGGGTGTTTTGCCTACATGTATGGCTGTGTATCACATGCATGCCTGATGCTCGGGGAAAGCCAGAGGAAGGTATCAATTTCCCAGAACTGTATTTATAGATGATTGTGAACTGCCATATGGGTGCTGGGAGTTGAACTAGTATCCTCTAGAAACACAGATAAATGCTCTTAACCATTTAGACATCTCTCCAGTCCCCTGTCTTGCTCAATGGTAAATGATTGACAGGCAAACAAAGTCATCTAGGACAACTACCTTCAGGAATCCAGGGTCACAGAACACTACCTCATCCTCCCACTAAAGCTGAGAAATGTCAAGAAAGCCCCTGGTTGGCTTCTTGCTTTTCATTAAACTTCCATGCCCCAGGGCCTTTGCTCATATAGGCTGCTCTCTTTCTCATTGAGGAATCCGGTTTCCTTCGTTTGGCTTTGTAGTCTCATCAATAAAGGAATTTACAAATTGATTCGGGAAGAAGCTCTATTTTATTTGAATTTGAATGAGTCACCAGGGCAGACAAATAGTAAGCACTGGCAGCTGCCCGATGGGAGAGGGAAGAGAGAGAGATGTTGCTGTGCCTTTAGCTGGTGTCCAAGAAAGTCCATAGGCTCAGCAAGGGAAGCGAGCAAGCAAATGCATGAGAGACAAATGGCCTCGTGGCAGAGGTGAGGAGAGGAGCCTCAGAGTCAGGAAATCATAGGAAATGTGCCCAGGTTTGGGCCAGCATCCACAGAAAGAGTGAGGAGTAGAGAAAGGAAAAGTTGCTTTCTCAATTACTCAAACATTGACAAATTGGATGAACTGACTTTTTTTTTTTGCTTTCTTCCATCCATCCATCCCTCAGTCCCTCTGTCCCTCCCTCCTTCCTTCTCTCTCTTCCTCCCTCTTTCTCCCTTTCTACTTAGCTCTCTGCCTCCCTCCCTCCTTTCCCTCCTCTTTCCTGTCCACCTCCCTCCCTCCATCCCTCCTTCCCTTGCTTCCTGTCTACCTCTCTGCCTTCTTCCCTCCCTCCCTCCCCTTGTTCCTCCCTCCTGCCCTTGTGATGTCTGGGGTGTTCAGGCGATAGTATGGATGTCTTTCTGACTTCACACACAAAACACCAATAGCTCAGGGTCACAAATTGCAGCTGCTCCTGCACTGTGACTGGCCGGGAACAGACACAGTCAGACCATGTGTAAAGAAACACACTCACCGAAAGCAGGGCTATGATGGTGCCTGCTGGTTCCTGCCCAGGCTCTCACTGCAGCTCAGTTCAGCCATGGAAGAACTGGAGAACAATACACGCTGTGGAGACCGAAGAATCAGGGAAGTTACAAGGAAGGTCAGAGTCTCGTCCACCCCCATAGCTGCCATCTAGAACTTGTCTGAGAATTCACAGAGCTGGGCCATATGGGGGATGTAAAGAACTATCAATGAACATAAGGGCATATGTACCAGCATGTCAGAGCCACTGGTGAGGCATCCTTTACCATCTAATCCCCAACTTAGAACACGTACTTACATTAGCTGTTTGCTTGAAATTTGAAGATTTATTATGTAGAATAATCAATGCTTTTTCTACATAAAATGCTTACATTTTAAGCACAGTGTTTCTCTACACAAAATTGGGGGGATTAAGTCAGGAAGAATTTGGAAGACCTTATCCTATAAGAAGGAGCCAAGTACATTTTTTTGTTGCAGTAGATCGGAACTGAATATGCACACACACACACGTGTGCATAACACAGAGAGAGAGAGAGAGAGAGAGAGAGACAGAGAGAGAGAGAGAGAGAGAGGAGAGAGAGCTGGCAGCATGACTATACATTTTCTGACATGTGACAGAAAATGGCATTGAATAAATTCCGCATTTCTGTGTCTGTTCAGGTTCAAAGAATTTCTGCATTAAGCTGTGCAGATGAGCCCAGAATACTTATGAAATTAGCAAATGCAGTGCAGTGGATAAATTTCATCGTCGACATGGTCTCTTGGGAGGCTCCTAGGCATTTCCATATGAAACAAGCAGCCACATATTCTCCGCAGTGAACCCAATTTGCTTTTGAAAACCTTCTAAGGCATATAATAATATCTGTCAATGGTAGATCAATGGCCTGGTTTGTTTTATTGTGGAGAAAAAAATGAGATAAATAATGGGCAATATTTCAAATTGCTGAAACAGTTCAGTTGTTGACACCGTATACGGCGAGTCTGTCTCAGGCACTTAATTCCGTATGCATCGCCCACTGAAAGAGGCTATAACTTTGCTAGAACTTCACTGCTTGGAGCAGCCTGGCCCTGCAAATCTAGCAAGACTGCTGCTTTTGCTGAGGGAGGATGGTTGTAAAATGAAACTCGTGCCAAATACAATGCCAATTAGCAATAATTACTGGGGCTATGAGAAGAGTCTCTGGGAACTCGTGGTTGTGTGTTCCAAACTTGGTTAGCTCAGGCCTTGAGACTCCCCTCCAGTTACAACTTCACAGTGCCTCTACTTCTATGGATGGGATTCCATCTCCTTGTTTGGTAGTGACATCTGTTTGCTCCTTTACTACACAAAAAGAGATCTCTCTTGGCTGTCCTGTGCATTTTGTTCAGATTTCAAGGCATGACGATATGGGCCATAACCATGTACTGGCTGGAAGCTGAAGGCCTCCATGAATGCCTGCCTGTGTGTCTGATCTGTGTGGCATCAATGGACGCTCAGGGTCCTCCCTAGAGTAGGGATGACATCACTCTCCTGGAGTGTTAGTTTGAAGGACAAACACATGAAAAATACATTGACAACCATAAACTCTGCCAAAATGTCTCTCTCCTCTTTCTCTCTTTCTAGTCTTTCACTGTCCTGTCTCCTCCCCCTTCCCCTGCACCTGTGTGTATGAGGATTAGGTCAATGTGTATGTGTCTTTGTGTACTGTATCACAGTATTTGTATCTCAAAAATTCCAATAGAATGTCTCTCTTTTCCATCAGTAAGTCAGAATGTAGGATTTCCACTCCTCACAATGTGACTTTGGGTCTCAGACATATGTGTCACCTCCCTCCTCATTTCAAATTGGAATGGGTACTCTGAGGAGAGGTGACTATTGTCAGGGCCTCACTTACA